GCCTTGCCTTTTGCAGAATGTTCCACAGGCTCGGCAGGATTCTGGCCTTTTTAGATTGGCCTTTTTTCGCGTGGCCTTCTGGGTCTTCTCCTGACTGGAGGGCTCACTTCCTTTCCGCTGCGCGGCCCTGGGTGTATCCACTCTGAAGGGTGTTGGGGAGCAAAGCCACCCGTTGCACAGCTTTCCCTGCCTTCGCCGCCCGCAGGATCGCTGGGCGTGGAAAGGGTCCTGTGGGCTTTGTCCTGACTGACAGCCCTGTGGCTTCAGCCTCAGTGAAGCAGCTTGGCATGCTGGCAGCTTGTCGCAGAACCAGAACGAGTCCCCTTCACAGACCCACCTCAGCTGTCCATAGAAACCCACCCGGCTCCCGCTGAGGCTCTGCCTCCCCATAGCCCGCCTGGGCCTGGGCCTGGGCCTGGGCCTGGGCCTGGGCTGAGCCAACCCCTGAGGAACACTTCAGATGCATACTGTTGCAGCGCTGCTGGAAGCACCTCTGCAAAGCTTTGGAGCCTGGCCAGTTCGGTTTTTGTTTTGGACAAATACTGTACCAAGGGGCAGAATTGCTGGGTCCTATAGCAGGAGTTCATCTGGTTCGCTGGGACAGGGCCTTGCCATGGGGCCCAGCCTGGCCTGGAACTCATCCTGTCTGATCCTCCTGTCTCAGCCCCCTGATGCTAGACTGCAGGCGTGTGCCCACACCTGGCTGGAAAGATGCCTTTTTAATTCCACCGTGATGAGTATATTAACTTCACTGTAAAAAGTCAGATGATACTGCATACAAAACCAAGGTTCCATTTCGGTCCCAGCCCATCTCCTGCTGACCGGGTTTACAGCCAGGGCCTGTGAGGCCCTGAAACAGAAACCGCCCGTCTGCATCCTGGTGGGAAGCTGTGGATCAGCCGCTTGCCTTTGAGGTCCTCGAAGAGTCCTCGACCAAGCTGGTGGCTGCACCTTGCACTTTGGAGCTACATTGTTTGTTTTTCCATAGGGGCTACATTGTTTGTATGCTACCAAAAACGTACAAGGGTTCCAATTTCTCCCCACCACTTGTTACTTTTTCTCTTTCTTTTTTACAAGTAGCTGTTCTAATGGGTGTGAGGTAATACTGTATTCTGATTTTGATTTGCATTTGCTTAATGATGGATGTTGAGCTTGTTGGCTATTTGTATATTATCTCCAGAGAAATATCTATTTAAGTCTTTTTAAAGCAGATTATTTACTTTTGTTGTTGTTGAGTTATATACTCTGGAGAGCAACCTCTTAGCAGATACATGATTTGCAAATAATTTCTCCCAGTCTATAGGTTTACTTTGTTGGTTGCTTCTTTTGAAATACAGAAGTTTTCTAATTTGATATGCTGTCATTGTGTTAGTCACTTTTCCGTTGCAGGGACAAAATACCTGATATACATAGCCTGAAGGAGGAAAGGCTGATTTGGGCTCATGCTCTCAGAGGCTTCAGTCCATGGTTGCTGGCTCCAAAGCAGAAACATCTTGGCAGAGGGGCCTGGTGGAGGAAAGCTGTCAATTTGAGGCAGCCACGCAGCAGAGACAGAGCAAAGCGTCCGAGGGAGAGGGGCGAGAGACCAGATACAGTTCTCAAGGTTCTGCCCTATGATCTACCCAGACACACCCAAAATGGGCACTTTACTGATCTTCTACGCATCCTGTCACGACCATCAAGCTGGCAACCAAGATTAAACATCATGCTGGGGACAGAATTCAGTGGTAGAGTGCTTGCCTGGCATGTGCAAAGCCCTGGTTCAATCCCCAGTGACACACACAGACACACAGACACAGACAGACACACATGTATCTATCTTGGCTTTGGTTGCATATGTGTGTTGTGTCATGGTCAAGAATCATTGTTAAAAGTAATGCCAGGGAGCTTTCCCCCTAGGTTTTCTTCAAGAGTTTTACAGTTTTAGGTCTCACATTTAGATCTTTAACCTATTTGGGGATAATTTTAATATGGTAGTGGTTGAATTTTTGCACATGGATATTCACTATTTCTGATGCCATTAAGGAAGACTACTTGTCCTCACTGAATTTTCTTAGCATTCTGTTGAAGATCATTTGCCCAGTTATGCCAGGGTGTATTTCTGGGCTCAATTCTCTCTTCCATTGGTCTATATGTTGGTTATTTTTTTGTTTTGGAACCGGGGATTGAACTTGGGCCCTTAGGCTTGCGCAGCAGGTAGTGAAACCACTGAGCTAAATCCCCTGCCCAGTCTTTATGTTTTTATGCTACTGCAACACTGTTTTGATTACTGAAACTTTATGATAGATTTTTAAATCAGAAATGATACCTCTTTGTTCTTTTGACTACTTACTTCTTAATTTCTTTTATGGCTATTGGTCTAACCAAGAAATTAATTCTTCTAAAATCAAATCTGAAACTATGTATTTTCCTAAATTTTTAAAGTTTTAATTTCTAAGATTTTTAATATATTTCTTCATATTTTTTTTAAAAAACACAATTTTACATCTCCTTACTAAGGTTTGTGTCTTCTCCTTTTTTTCTAAAATTCAGATTTGCTAAAAGCGTATCTAATTTATTATCCTTAACTGAACAGATTATTCTCTTTTGGTGGGAATATGTTATTAGTATTTTATTTGTAATTTGTTGTTGTTGTTGTTCTCCTTTCTTGAGTTCATTTATCTCCAGATTTTCCTGGCTAAACATTTTTCTGTGAATAATTTTTGGTCCGAATCCCCCAGGTTATGATACAGAAGACTCTCACTGTTACTAATTTTGAAATTAGCCCACAATAGTTTACCCTAGATTACATTACCTCTTTAATTTAGGACTTATTAGGAATAGTATTTAAAATTTTTCAAATCTATACTTGTAGTAATGTACATGCTTCTTTTTCTAAAATACAGGCTTTCTAGACATAGTTCCGTTTCTAACACGTTTTGGCTTCCCTTTCTCATTCTACTGCAGTCTACCCAGTGAATGTGTCCTGTCTGACTTCAGCTTTTTGGAATTTATTGGGCTTTTCATTACGGCCTAATAAATACACAGAAAACGATTTGGAAGTTCTGTACCCAGGGGTCAGCAGGGAGTGAGGAGTGGAATTCGGGGAGGAGGCAGTAAGGGGCGGCCGTTCGTTCGTTTTTACTTTGTGCGCGTCTGGCAGAATTTATTCACGTGCACGGTTTCTTTTTCTCTGTTCCTTTTTTCCTGTGGCGCCTCGCGTGCGGGCGGGCGCGGCTCTGCTCCAGCCCGGGACGGCCGAGCGGTTCCTCCCTACGGCGACAGGCTCTTCCTCCAGAGCTTCTCGGGCGGGCACCTGTGACCTCAGTCTGCGGTTGAGCGGGCCAAGCAGCCTGTCCGGACGGACGACGCGGACCTGCTGTCTCCACCCGGAGGGCGCGAGGTCGCGGGGTCGCCTGCGGGGTCCGCCGGCCCTAAGACCACGCCAGGCCCGGGGTCGGCAGCCCCGGGAGCCACAGGACGGCCGCTACCTTTGGAGCCGGTGACCTTAGCACGTTTGGGGCGCACTGATCCTAGAAAGATGAGTAGCCCCACCCTGGCTGGAGGGCAGAGAAGAGGGGCGCGGCGGCCCAGGGGGGCCCTGGGGTCCCGGGCCGGGCCGGGCCGAGCGGAGCAGGCGCGGAGCTGCGGCGACCCCTGGTGGCGGGGAGCGGCAGGGCGGCCCTCGCTGCCTGCGCGCCGGGGCTGAGGCGAACCCCGCCTGTCGCCCGGTGCCAGCCCGCGGCGTGCTCTGCCGAGGTCCGGGCCGCGCTGCACACCGGGCGTTTGTCAGACCTCGGCCGCCGCCGGCCCGGGCTCCCCGGCCTTCGCAGCCCTCCGTGCTGCGCGGTCCAGGGCTGCGTCCCGCTCCGACCGGCCCGCCGGCGCGACAGGAGGCACCCGAGCGCGGCCCGCCTCCTGCCCCGGGGCCGTCCTCCGGGCCCCTCATGGGCTCAGGACGAGACCTCAGCCCAGGTGTAAGGGCCTTGCGGGCCCGCTGCCCTCCCCTGTGCGCGGGGCTCGGCGGAGGCGCCCCGCACGGAGGGCCGCGGGCCGCACCTGGCTGACGCACAGCCCGCCGTCCCCTCTGCTTTGCACGCTTCGGCCACAGGCAGAACTGTGTCCGGTGCCTTCCGAGCTCGGGTCGAATCAGCACGGCCGTCACTGAGGACCGTGCCCGGGCCTCCGCGCGGACGTGCCTGGACTCCCGGCCGACGCCTGTACGCCTGGGCGACCTGAGTTGCCGCCCGCTCCCTACGGAACCGCCGCGGCACGAAGGGCCCCGACGACATCAGCCTCACGCATGGGGCCCACAGCCACTTGGGGACGCCTGCGTGGCCCGGCTCCCGGGGTTGATGGGTTCGGTTCCGGCCGCCCTACTCCGGCCCGGCCCTGCGCCCCGAGGAGGACACCACAGGGCGCCCCTCGCCGAGACGCTGAGGCTGTTCCACAGCCCACACGGGCGCAGACCACGGTCCGAGGCCGGTCCGCGCCCATCCTCACGGTGGAAGTGACACTCGGAGAACCGGGCTCCGGTCACTGGTCTGTCCGAGCACGTCTGGGCCAGCCCGCGCCAAGCCGCCTCGGGCCCGGTGCGGGGTGACTTGCTACGGCCACCACCGCACTGACCAGGAAGCAGGCTGTACGCTCTATCTTACGGAGCTACTGATTCTGACTGCGAGCTCATACAGACCTTGAATAACTAACAGATGCTCGGTGTGGGGCGCGAGAAGTACTCAGGCGGCCGCGGGAGGAAGACTGCCGAGGCTGAGACCAGCATGGGCTTCCTAGGAGTTCAAGGCCAGCCTGGACTGCAGAGAGAGACACTGTCTCAGAACAAACAAAAAAACCCCAAGCCAGATAACAAAAAAATAAAAACAAAAGCACACCGAACCATCAAGAAATGGCATGATCATGATCAGAAGGATCCAGTCCCAGAATACCATCTGCTGAATAAAAGTATTTTTAAGTCAGAATAAACCCGAATGGGCAATCTCAATTACAACTGAGGTACAGAGGGGTATTTTATCTAGAGAAAAACACAAGACCAAGTTTATTTCATACAATGTTATTCACACATTTTTCATTTTCTAATTTATACATAATATACAAAGCGAGGGTAACATTTCATGTGAATCCATGAGCCGGGACAAACTGGTCCAGAAACATTCCATGTCAAAAGGAGACACTCAAGGGTCAAGCTAAGTGTTCTGCCCAGTTAAATTTCTTTAGTCTCAAAGGTCAGATTTTACTAAAATTCCATGCCAGCATACTTAAAGGCGGAATTGTGGTGTGGGCCCCAAAAGTGGCAGACCTTAAAATTTCTACAGGAAAAGGTGTATTTCTAGAATATGCCTGAAAAGTGGGGTTGTCAGCCAGAGGGAACTATGGAAACATCAGGGCCCTGGGGGGGCGGGGTTCAGTGTTCCGGTGCGTCTCACGTTCTGACACTGCAGCAGCAACTGCCTGTGCCAACAGAGGGAGAGGGGAAGGGGCAAACCAGAAAGCACTGTGTTAATGCAGGACAGACATCACCCATCTGCAGAGGACAGCTCTGACCCTGAAACGGGCTGACGTCGGGCCAAGTCATCGGAGGGCTGGAAAAACAACGTAGGGGGGACAGCTCTAACGGGGTGGGGGGTACTGTTACTGTGACAGAAACATGCTGACGGACCAGGGCGACTCTGAGAAGGAACAGTGACAAGCCTGTGGGTTGAATGGCTTGACCAAGAAATGCTGGATTACAAAGCATCAGAATAACGCAGTATCCAACATGGAAAGTATTCCTGGCACCCCAAATCTATGCCATTAAAGTTCATGATATGAGCAGCTTAGTGATAAAACCTTTACAGTTAATATTGTGCTCACAAGATTGCTTTTCTCCTCTAGTAAAAAATCCCTTCCACATTCAGCTGACAGAGATAGCATGTTCATGTTAATTTTCATCACTAAACTTAAGTGGATCAACATAAATGTTTATACAAAATACTGACTTCAACAAAATACAAAGCACTTTCTTTATCTTTCAGAAACTGAATATACAAAGCAAGTTTTTTCCAAAATATTTTCATAGGCAAAGGATTAAAAACGATTTAATTATACACATATGGTCACAATTTTGCCTTAAAAAGACTGTTGGGAAATGTACATAAGGCCGCTTGTAAATGTACATCATGTTACTGTTATAATGTCTTATGTCCAGAGAAAAAAAAAGTTATCATACAGATTTGCTCTTACTTGGGAGTAGACTATTCAAAAATACAGTACTCTTCTGTACAAAGAAAAAAGTCACATCACATTTAATAAGATGGAAAAAGCATTGGCCTCCATGGTAACCAAATATCTCCGCCCAACACTTTCTATTATGCACAATACCCTGACTTCTTGAAAGTGACCCAAATCCTAGCATGTCCATATTAAGAGTCAGTAACTATGTTATAAAACAAAATTTTTCTCACAATAAAAAGAAAGTTGGTTCATACTTCTGAAACCATATAAAGATAAAAAATTTTTTAAAAAATCACTCTTGATTTGGAGAAATTTACATTATACAACACTATATTGCCAGGTCAAAGAGGGCAAGGACATAAATGTACACTAAAATGCAAATGTTTCCCAAAGAGATAAAACAAATTCCATTTACAGCATGAAGGTTTACAAATGTACACCTGTACAACCAAGGAAAGCATCACTACTAAATTAGCAAGGCTTTTATAATAAACACCGAAACAAGATTTGCTTTCGAAGTGTAAACTTACATCACTACACACACAATGCATATATTTATAGAAAGCAAAAAAAGCTATCTGAATATGTAATCATGCTTACATGTTGAGCTATCAAATTCAATTTTTCAGTGGACCCCTTTCAACTCTATCTGGTTCCTACTTTCTGTATCTACTATGAAAAAGTAAAATAAAGCCCAACACTTCCTCACTGTGTTCTTACAACTTTAAGTGAAACAAAATACAAATTTCCACTCTTTTTCATTGCAAACCAAACTGGAAACTTAACTTTTCATTTAGTACACTTAACTGGATGGAATTGTCACCATGATTTTATTTTTTCTAACTCTTAACAATTACATATGTAAGTACATACAATACTTCTGTACATTGCCAGAGACATTATAGGGCAGTATCTGTATTAAAACCACATCCACTGTAAATAATGGTCAGGTTCTTTTCACCTCAAGTTATTTTATTCTTTTTGTGTGTGTGTGTGTGTGTGTTTTTGGTACCGGGGATCAAACTTGGGACCTTGCGCTTGCTGAGGCGAGGCAGGCAGCGGAACCACTGAGCAAAATTCCCAGCCCTCAAGTTATTTTATTCTTCTGTTACTTGGTGAGTTTTTATTTGCATGATAGTTTGTGAATTACCAAAATACAACTTAACTTTCTCTTTTTAAAATATTAATTAATATTTATGCAGTTGATTGTTAATCTGTTATAAAAGGCTTCAGGGAAAGAAAAAAGATAAGGACTATAATTCTATATACACCTCTATAAACCTGTTGTGCTATGGGGTTGTAGACCTACCAGACTGTAAGCCAGTTTATTAAAAGAATACTGTACTCTTTCCTTTAAAAACTATTTTTGTGACTTTACAAGGTAAAAATTTACAAAATATGTGACAGTTTTTTTTTTTTTTGATACAGTTACATCATATACAGGCATTCTGTGCTTTGCCAGCAATCCAATCTGATAGGTCTCCACTAAGGGCTGAATATAATTTATAATTCACCACCCCATCCCCCAAATATACACAAGAACCTTAAAAAATTACAAATGGATGAATAAAGTCAATAAATAGTTTTGCTTTAAAAAAAATCCAAGATTCTTAGCTGAGTTGTGTTTTGATAATTCACAAAAACTTTTCACATGGTTAAATCATTTTCCTTTTTTTCTTTTCTTGCTTTACAGCACTCCATTTGGTGGTCCTCCAATAGGCCCTAGGTCTGGGCTATTTTTCAAATAATATTTCTCCAACTTGGCCAGTATATGCTTCCCGTATGTGTACTTGCGCAAAGTAGTTATGTGAGGTCGAATCTGAAAAACAAACAGTCTGCTTAGGAAACCTAAGTTACTTTAGTCTTTAATTCCTTAAAAAGGTAACGCTCAATCTAGATAATTTAGAGAATAATCACAATTTAAAATCTTAAATCCAAAGAAAGCTATTTTTGCAAAGTAGTTCTGGTCCACTCAACCTCTCCAAATTTCTACTCTCAAAATTGTTCAGTGAATAAATAAACCACTATTTTACAACCACATCTCAAGCAAGCGGAGAGGCTCTAAACACGAGAGAAGAGTCACAAGGGAGAGATTCTTCAGAAACCCGATCTTTAAGTTTCTTTCCAAAGTGGCAAGGTCCTAATAAATCTAACAGCTGGCAGCCATTGTTATGCAACTGTGGTAAACTATGCCCTCTTCTCACATACTGGACAGATGCATAAAACTGTACAAGATATCTTTTCTCTTTGGTACCGGGGACTGAACTCAGGTCCTTGTGCTTGCGAGGCAGGCGGCAGAACCACTGAGCTAAATCCCCAGAACTTGGCAGTAGCAATTAAAGGTAAAATGTTTATAGTCTTTGACAGCAAATATCATCAAAACAATTAGACAAACACTTTCATAAAGAGCTACCTAAAATAGTTTATCAGAAACAATCCAAATGTCATGAATATGATGTTGGCTCAATAACCAATATAGCTGTTAAAAATAAGACAAATTTTTATACGAATTATTTTTACACAGAAACACTGAATTAAAAAATTGGTAGCAAATTTAGTAAACCAAGTTGAAGGATGAAGTTTTAAAATCAGCACTGTAATTAAGAGCTATTAATTACTGTGAATTACCTACTAACTGACCCCTGCCAAAACACTTGTGGCAGGAAGAATTCTTAAGAGGTCATTTCTTTTCTATATGAGAAATCCAAAGAGATAACACACTTTGCTTCATGTTTCCTAAAGGAATAAGTTTAGAAAAAGATACAGACCGAGTATTAAAATACTATTTCCTCAGGCTTTTCTTTTTTGAGACAAGGTCTTGCTATGTAGGCTTCGAACTCTTGAGTGATCCTCCTGCCTCAGCTTCCTGAGTGCTAGGATTACAAGCATGCACCACCATGCTTGGCTCAGCCTTTTCTTAATTGTTAAGTTCTCCTAAGACAGTAATTTCTTAAAGAATCACTAGATTCGAGGAGAAAAGCAGCTTGATGGAAAATATTAGGTGCTACTTCTGGTTTTCTTGTACTGGGGATCGAACTCAGTACCTTGTGCTTGTGAGGCAGGCATGGTGCCACTGAGCTAAATCCCCGGCTAGGTGCTACTTCTTTAAAGAAAAAAAAAAAACCCACACAGTTCGCATCAGGAAAACATCTTAGGTTAGTGGGAAAAACTGCATTTAAAAATCAATGTTTGGTTCATACACTATAACAAATAAATATACCCAAATAAAATGAGGGAAAAGAAAAGTAGTAAACACAGGTAGAGATGAGACATGAATGCTATTACCTTAAGAATTAAAAAAAAGAACATCTGGTAAATGTTATCCACAGGTTTTAATTTTTTCCTCCTGTTATAACATATATGAACTTAAACGTACAGCCAAAAGTTCTGTATGGATGGGTTGAAAGCACACAAACAAAAAGAGTTAAAATGTGGATCGCTGCCCTGTTACCTTATGCATGATTATTTTCCTCTGGGCAGGCTCGGCCATGTCAACCATCTTCTGGACCACGTAGTTGGCGTACTGGTCCTTCATCATGGTGTATAAGGCACTGTGAGGGCCGTCATTCTGGCAGCAGACCTCGTCAATCAGCAGCGCTCTCTCAGCACGGGAGGCATGAGTAACACACTTTTCTACCACATTGCTAAAGAGTTCAAGTACATACAAAAAATTCTTGTTATTTCCTTATAACAAAATTTACTTTTCAAAGAACTTGCTCCAATTTATTAGAAAACTGGAGTTAAAATGGGGGTTTCTTGCCTTACAATTTCTTTTAAAACAAAGACTGGTACACAGGACAAGCCCATTTTGACTACGAGCCTGTCAGAAGTTTAAGTCAAAAAAGGGAAATAGGCACTAAAAACATTTGCATTTCTTGTTTTGGGAACCAGTGTTTTGTAGACACATTTAAAAACAGAATGAATGTGGGTAAAACTAACATGTTGACTGCTTTCCTATTTTTACAGCAATGCTCTGTGTGCATGAGAGACTGGTCTTGCTGTCCTAACTCCATGGACGTAGCCACCCCACGGCTTCCCGCACTGAGCAGCTGGGAACTCAGTATGCAGCTCCCTGCCTGCTCATGAGCTTGTTCATGTCACCACAAAGAAGCATGCTTCCACACCACGTATGACGTTTGGTGCTTACGCAAGTGTCGGGAGGACTGGCGAACCCCGCGGTACCTGGCAAATTTGTGCTGGCTCAGAGCGAGGACCTCCCCCCGGACTTCCGAAACGACCCTGCTCCTGTCCTCAGGCCGGCCATGCTCCAGCACGTGCTGGACGACGTAGTTGCCATACTGGTCCTGCGGGCAGACGCTCCCATCAGCTTGGGGCACTGACTAGGCTCTCAAAGGTGTTAGGCATTTGTCTACAGATCCAGTAGCACTACCAAGAGACTACAATAAACTGTCTGTTTTTACAGCTTAATAATAAATAACATCTCTTTTAAAAATCAAAAGAATTTCTGGGCCGGGGATGTAGCTCAGTGGCTCCACTGCCTGCCTCGCAAACACAATGTCCCAAGTTTGATCCCTGGTACCAAAAAAAAAAGGATTTCCAAAGACTATATGAAGGTTTCAAATTATAACAGGACTTATACCTGTACCAACTGCTCTGTATGTTGGTGAAGTTCTTCTAAGATCGGTAAGGTCTGTTCTGCAGTGCAATGCTCTAGGATACGCTGAATAACTCTGCAACCGTAAGGATGGGTTGAAAGCACAAATACCTTAAAACAAACAGAAGAATGAAATCTTCATTTTCTGGTATTTTTGAACTGTTTTATGAGGCCAATAGGTTTTTGATGACAGGGTGAGTTAGTTAAAATAGAAGGATGGTGGATCCCCATTAAAAGCACTACTACCATGTTAGCAAAGACTGAAAGGTGGGGTGGAGTGAGATGAGTTTTTAGTATAGGAGTTATAAATATTTTGATCCAAAGGAAGCTAACCATAAAATTAAGGATATAGAATAAGGAAATGAGTGGATGAGGAAGGACAGTTCAGCACTGTAATTAAGAGATTTTCATTACTGTGTATTAGCTACTAATTGCTGCACATTTTCTGTGTTTTTAATACACTTTTGAGTCTTCTTACTTCCTCCCCATCTCCCAGGGAATTGGGAAGTGACTGTCTTTTTAAAATAATGGATTAAATTCCTATTTCTGTTTTTCAGTTTAAAAAAATAAAGCTCTCTAATAACCAATCTTGTTTCCTGTTTTTGTACACAGGTGCTGGGTATTCTCTTGTGACGTAAGAAAAACATGTTAATATTATAATTCTAAAATAATGCCCTGCTAACAAATCAGAAGCAAAAAGTCAATCTTACTTGTCCTTTGAAAGCATCAATGATGAACTGCAGTGACTGTGGCTGAACACATTCAATACATTTCTGTACAACATGGTTTCCATTCTGATCCTTTACACATTTAAGGACATGCCCATCAAGCTCCTTTACCATTTCACTCTGCAGAAAAAATGCCATTTAATCCCCTCATGAAATAACATAACACAATTTAAAATACTAAGATGGGAACAAAAGGGTACTAAAAATATTTCCTGTTCGTAATTTTAAAAAAATGAAACTTGAAATCTTTTCTCTGAAGTATAATTAGTAAAAACCATTGAAGAATTATTAAAGTGTACTTCACAATTCTATTGTTCGTACATGCTGAAATACAACTTAGTGATGTTGAATTTGTCATATTAAAACCACTATCTTCACCATAGTGTCCCACTAATCCTTCACAGCTGATATCTCATATAGACTTTCACTTCACATAGTTTATCTTTATCATTCTTGTGTGTGTGTGTTTTGTTTTACTCCTCTGAGACATGATCTCGCTATATAGTTCAGGCTAGCCCTGAACTCGTGTGGCCTCCCAAGTGCTGGGATTGCAGGCGTGTGTTACCACGCCCAACTACTTTTTCTCTATCACAGATACAATTATCTGTGTGCTTTACTGGAGCCACAGAACAGTACTGTGGAGTAATGGAGCACACACACTCAGTCTAAACATTGTCACATTCAAAATACCTCTCGCCCAACAAAAGATGCAAACAACAAAACAAAACCTAACTGAACCCTTTTGCTCAAACAACTCTCATCTACATTCCTACATAACTGGAGGAATCCTGTTAAGACAACCTTCAACACAAATGCTTAAATTTAAAGTGGACTCAATTACAAAAACAATAAACTGAAGAATCCAAAGAATATAATACGCCATTATTCATGAACTGGTCACATAAGACTGACTCTCAGGGCTTTATATTTTCAAATGTAACAGACATTTAAAGTATCTTTAAAATACCTATACCAGGGTGAGACTTGTGAGAGAGAAGTTCTAAGCTTCTACCTCATTAAACATCCTGATTTTCTCCATTGAGACCTATCTTCAATTACTCTAAACTCCAGAATTCCCCCAGAGGAATCATAGTTGATTATAGACAATGACGTGATTAATGTATACATATGCATGCATACACACTCCCTCCATTCAACCCATACTATTGTTATTTACAGAATTTTATTGAGTCAAAAATGACTCTAGGGGTTGGGGATTTAACTCAGTGGTTCCACTGCCTGCTTTGCAAGCGCAAGGTTCCAAGTTTGATCCCTGGTAGCCCCCTCCAAAAGTTTCTTTCTAAATTTATTACTAATACCTTTTATGAAAAATTTCTTTTTATAATATACAAATCACATACATTAAAAATTTGCTATGTAATTAATTTCATATTAAAAAATATTTTAACAAATTACAAGAAAAGCCCCATAAGTACAAGACGGGAATCATTTAGGAACTTAAGATATTTAGATTTTTCATCCAAGAATATAGTACATTTCTCAATTGATGTGTTCTTTCTTCTCTCAAATAATTATAAATCTTGTTAAAAGGATTAGATTACTTTTCTGTACACTTATACTCTGAAAAAAACTACCACTGGAAATAGTAAAATCCACTGTGATACTGCAGAAAATCAGGTAAGCGTGTGACAGCAGAAATGCATCATTTGGGACTGTTTGCCAGGTAGTACACACTCATAAATACCTTCAATGAGAGATGGAAGGATGTAAAAGAGAATGGAAGGACAGATCAAACTTATAACTTTTAGAGTAAAATATTATGAAATTTTTTCTTAACTTACAATTACCTGCTGGTCAGAAGAAATAGACTCTAATGCTTTCTGAATAACACGACAGCCATACATCTGCAAGGCTAATGGCAGAACATGACCACGAATACGAGTAGCCAGGGCTAATTTTTGATCCAAACTCCCAAACTGAAGGAAAAGAAAAGTAAAAAAAACCAATCGTAGCATTATCCTGTTAAACTTAAAGACACTCTTTGTAGCTTAATCAAATATCATACTTGATAATCAGAGAGAAGGCATGAAGGCAAAAGCTAATTAAGAGAGACTCAGAGATGCCTGCAATGACAATTACTTTCTTTTTGTTGGGGGGGGGGTTAGATCATATTATTTAAAATTTCCTTATCATATTACCACCTTTAGCATTCTTTTAAATATCTTCACCTCTAGTAAAAATAACCCTTCATCTTTAATACATTAACTCTGAGCCATACAGTCAGTCCACTAAAACTCTCTTACCCAGATAATTGCCAGTCTGTATTCTGAAATAATTGAGAAAGAAACCTATTAGATCAAGCTACTACACAGATGTACAGGTATGCACTAAAAAGTGCCTGAATTACTAAGGAAACACAAAAGTCTACGCGAGTATTTAATTGACTGACCTAAGTCTTACTCCCAATGCTTTATATTTTTAGATATTAATTAGGATCAGTATCAAGCTTTTAAGTAGATTCATATATGTAAATTTAAGCCTATGATGAAATATATATATAAACAATAAAATATGCCATTTTAGCCATCTTTAATCTGTATAATTCAGTGCCATTATATTCATAATTGTTGGGTGACCGCCATCACTATGTGTTTCTAAATTTTTTGCATAGCCTTAAACAGAAATGTGGTACCCACTCTACAATAACTCCCCATATTCCCTTCGTCTCTCGGGCCCTGATAAGCTTTAATCTATTTTATGTTTCTATGGATATGCCATTGTATACTTCATATAGGTGGAACCCTAACGTTGGTCCTTTTGTGTCTGGTTTAGTTCACTTAGCTTACTGTTTTCTAGTGTTTATCCATTTTGTAGTATGCACCAGAACTTTTTTCCTAAATTTTAATGGCTGAATAATATCGTTACATACATGACATGTTTTGTTTATCCACTTATCTGCTGATGGATACCCAGGTTGTTTTCTAACTTTTGGCTAGAGAACAGTACAAAGAACACTGATGTTCAAGTTCTTGTTTTTAATTCTTTTGGGTATTTCCTTCATTTTGGGTAAGTGCTTTGCGTATTTGCTTAGTGGAGTTGCTGGGTTGTTTGTTTGGTAGGTCTTGTTTAATTGTTTAAGGAACCAACAGTTTTCCATAGCAACTACCCCATTTTATATTCCCACCAGGAAAGTATGAGGATTCTTTCTCCACATTCTCACACTCATTTCCCTTTTTATAAAAATTGTAGGTGTCCTAGTAGGTATAAAGTAGCACCTCATTGTGGTTTTGATTTGTATTTGCTTAGTAAACTTAGAATGTTTAGTTATCTTTTCGTGGCTTATCAGCCATCTGAATTATCATCTACAAAGAAATGACTATTCAAGTCCTTTATCCATTTTTAAACTGGGTTGTCTTTTTTTTGTTGAGTCTTAGGACTTCTTTATATTTCTGTATATACAATCTTTATTAGATGTATGATTTGCAAATATTTTCTCCCACTCTTATTTATATATGAAAGTGAGTAATCCAACTCTCACAGCTTTTCTTAGCATTAAGTACGTAACAGGACGAATATACAAACACACATGCATATCTACCTCAAAAAACTTCTGTATGACATAGTTGCCAAAAACATCCGTCATTAGTTGATAGGCTGCCTGGAGAATTTCATTAAACACCATCTGCCGCTCAGCTGGAGTAGCTCTTTCTAGCTTCTGTTGTATGAACCTATGTGGGAAAAAGTTTAAATGCCATGACAATCTGCTGCAGCTCTGTAAAGTCCGTATGTCTTTCCTGATCATCACACTCTCTCACATGTACACACACACACACACACACACACACACTACTCCCAGAATATGAAAACATTTCATAAGTGGATGGCTAGTTTACAACAAAGACAAAAGCTATGAAACATTTCTTTATAGTATCTTAAAGTAACTAGCAGTTCAATTAACAAAAAACCTGTACATAAAGATGTTTTATTTTTTCTTGGGTTAGTTCTGTTATAATTAATGAAAAGGAAACTACAAAGATTTTGTTGATTATTCTTTTTCAAAATATACATACTACTACTTTTTTGGGGGGGCTTACTGGGGATGAAACTCAGGAGCCCCTAAATACTACTAAATATCTATTTTTAGAACACAGTAAAAGAAACCCTTAGAAATCATGTTCCTCAACATGAATTGCTAACTAAGCTAGCCACTGCAGTGATACAAGGTTCATCTGTAACTGTTAAGAACTTTAAGCCAGGTGTGGTGGCCCAGGCCTGTAATCCCAGCCTAAAATACATAGTTCCAGGTCAGCCTGAACCACATAAGACCTGTCTCAAAAAACCAAACAAAACCATACAAAAAGAAATCAATGTTTCATTAAAAGTCTTTTTAAAAAAGAACTTTAAGCTATAGGGAGGAAAAAATCTGTATACAACTATAATCTAAAAACTACAAAAAAAGCCAGGGATTTAGCTCAGTGGTTTCACTGCCTGCTGCACAAGCGCAAGGTCCAGAGCTCGAACCCTGGTACCAAAAACAACAAAAAACAAAAAAACCCACAAAAAGAAAAATGTAGTAAGTGTGTCAGAATTCTGTTCTTTTTAAAGTTTATCTTAGGCTGGGGATTTAGCTCAGCGGCACCATGCCTGCCTTGCAAATGTAAGGTCCTGAGTTTGATCCCTGGTACCCCCTCCCGCAAAAAGCCAATTCACACATACTTCTCAAGCATTAATTACATCAAACATGTTTAATGTAGTAATATATCAAATAACAAGTATGGAATATTTCAATTTAAACCAAGTCACATTAAACACTAACCTATAAAAGCAACACAAAAATGTTTAACTTAACCTGTAATTTTATAATTTATCCTAATATAAAAGAAAAAGTGTATAATCCACACTGGGTTTTTAAATGAAATGCTTCCAAAATTAATGTGAAATTAGCTGAGCCCAGACAAGTGAAATTTAGACTTTTATACACTAGTCAGCTTCCAAGGAAACATGAGGCAGAAAGTTACCAGGAACCCACGGTCACCTACCTGGAACCATGCTGGTCTTGAGAAAACTCAACTATATGTCCAATCAAGTCTCTCAGCTGCAGGTTTGGGAAGCGGTTGTTTCTGAAATCTTCCAGCAGCCTACTGCGGCCAGAAGGCATAATGTCGGACCTGTTATACCGAAGTCGGGAAGGAGGGAAGAGCTGGCTGCTGGAACTAAACAGACTGGAAGTGCCTGAAGCACTCCGGTATTTTGCTTCTGCTCCCGGTGCTGCAGAGATATAGCGACCACTACCATTGGTCAGTCCTCCTACAACAAAGCAGTGGGGTCAGTCAATGTTCTGACAAGTCCTTCCTCAAATAAACGTTACCTGAATTATAAAGCCAGTCAGTAATGACATACCTCCCCATTCTAATTTCTTATGACAGGAAGTTAAACTTGAGAAGGGAAAAATCTCAAATATATACTTAATGTTAATGATTATATGAAAAAAGACTAGAAGCATCAGAAAAGTAAGCCTGTATTTGTTCTTCGCAGCTTTAGTTATAAGAGCTAATGTCACATGCATTCATTCATAGCAACCCCAGGATCTTAAAAGCTTTAACAAGACTTTCAGCTACATTACCAAGCAAGTGATAAGAAGCTAGGTTAACTTTCATTTTAAGCCACTGAAACTTTTGACTGAAATTCATTCGTAGTGTTAACAGAGTAACTTTTGAGTACTAAATCTTCACTTTTTGGGAAATATATTAAAAATAGTCATGTATACTTCTGAAAACAAATCATTCCTTAATTAACTCATTAATTTTTGAAGCTTTTAAAAAGAAAAACCCCACAGTATTAGATAAGACACACAAACATTTTTATTAAAAATACTCTCCATAAAATGCTACTTTTTTGCAGATAAGAAATAGTAGATATAAACTAATTATTCCTAGCACCTTATCATTTAAAATACATGAACAAAAAGCCCCTCGATTATGTACCATTCTACAAAAGGAGATTAAAGGGTTGTCAATAGAAACAAAAATACAAGCAGAAAGTTGTTTTTACTGTAATACTTTAAAAGTACTTGACAGTGTCCTTTTAAAAAAGAAAACTATAAAGACATGTAAAATAGATTCAGTAGTTCAGAAAAACAAAGGGGACTATCGGCTTTCTTATATACCAACCCTACAGACCACTGCTGTGCAGCCAGCCCAGGCACAGGGCAGGGGGGGTCCAAAGGACACACTGTCAGTGCAAAGCCGCCAAAGACACTGAAGGCCCAGAGGAAGTACAAAGACAGGGAGCAGTTTCGAGTTTCAATCCACTACAGTGACAATCAGGTTAGAGTGCTCTTCTTATACTCTGTCCCTACTCCCCTCTCTTCATTTTTTTCTTCATTGAACTTCCCATTCTACAGCAATATTGTGCATTTATTTGAATCCGCGGCCCCTTCTCCAACTTAGGTGCCATCAAATTGCATTCATTTATGTGCTAAATACCTAGTGCCTACAATGCTCAAGAGGGAGTGGGTAAACAATATGTATGGAATAGCTAGACAGCATAAACATTGATGTACCCATAGTTTTATTCCAGAATATCTTGTTTAAAAAGTGTAATTTAACAATCCACCTTATCCACTAAAATCACTAACACAAATTCTCATGTTTCAGTTCAACACAACTATTTCCATGACCATGAATAAATATTCAAAGCATGGCAGAGTTCAGTGTTTCAGTACTGTCTCAATTTCATCACTTCTGTCAATCCTTCCCTTTCCCATTACTAATTCATACAGCTCCATGGATATTTCATAATAAGGGATCTCCAGTCCAGGACCTCAAGCTTGGGAGGCAGGCACTGCACCACTGAGCTAAATCCCTGTCTCCTCCTCCCATTTGATTGTTTAACAATGCAATTAGCATGACCTTTCCAAATACTACTTTGGGGGAGGGGAGGACTAGGTCATGCTGTATCATTCAGGATGGCCTTGAAATCACTATGTAGCCTCCCAAGTGCTGGACTACAGACATGAGCCAACAGGCCTGGCTCCAAATTCTTTTTTTTTGGTACCAGGGATCAACCTTGGGACCTTGTGCTTGCCAAATTCTACTACTTTAACTGAGCCTTTATAACTCCCTACATTGTTGCTGGGCTTTCTTTACCATCCTTGCTTTTTTGGTGGGGTAGTATTAGCTTCTGTTTCTCTACACATAACATCTTTCCTTTCAGAGGCCATTTTAAGGATGTGGTAAAAATCTAGAGCATTCTGCAAGAGTTTAGTCTCAAATCTTCAACCTAGTTTAAAAGTCATTATTTCAAACCTATTTCTCACACCAATTTCCTAGTGGTACCCTAATTACTCACTCTACCCCCACATCTTATTCTTTAGTTATCACTGTACCACTGTTTGCCTTTAAACATTAGGCTTAATCTTATCCTTAATGCACTAAACATTCAACACCAAATTCAAAACACTTACCCTCAAGAAATGATTTGGCAATTTTATTTACTACTTTCCAAATTCCTATCAATATCCACCATGAATGTCTCGCTTGTCCAGATGATTTCATTCATCAGCTCCCAACAACCGACTCCTGATTTATTTTTTTTCTGGTACCAGGGACTGAACTCAGGACCTTGAGCCTGCGAGGCAGGCCTGGTGCCACTGAGCTAAATAAATCCTGGGCCCCCAACTGATTTTTGGCAATGTCTAATGCGAAGCTGATGAAGACTAATTCATAGGCTCATTTATAAAATTGAAAAAATTTGAGTTTTTACCTAGGGCAGGATACCTTTCTTTCCTTACAAATTAAATAAGCTTTAAAAACAAACTTATAATATACTTTAAACATTTTAAATTTGGTAATTTACACACTGAAAATAATCATCCAAAACCTGTGGGGCTGAGGGACATTCTAACAAAACAGTGGACCAATGCTCTTCAAAACACAAGGTAATAAAAACCTGAACCAGTTCAAGATTAAAGAACCATGACAGGTAGATCTGTAATCATCTAAGGCTCTCGGTCAACTGGATAATAGGCTTCCAAATCAATCAATCAATCAACCAACCAACCTCCTACTCTCCCTCTCTTACACAAAAGTCATCAATGTAACAACTGACCAAGTCTGAATAAAGTTGGCTGATTTGATCGTATTCTATCAGCATTAATTTCCTGACTTTGGTCAGGATGTATTTGTAAGGATTAGCATGCCTGTAACTTCCTTGGTGGTGCACAACCATAATCTCAGCTACTTGGGAGGCTGAGGCAAGAGGATTATGAGTTTGGGGCCAGCTTGGGCAATTTAAAAGACCCTGTTTCAAAGTAAAAAAAGCTCTGTGCAAAGGCCCTGGCTTCAACTCCCAGTAGTGGAGGGAGGGGAGAGGAGGGGAGAGAAGAGAGAAGAGAAGGTAGGAAGAGGGGGAAGAATAGGAGCAACAACGGACAGTGTGTAAGGTGCGGGGAGAGAATGATAAATTAATTACACTGCCCATATTCAGTAAGATCAGTACTATAATTTCAAAGATGAGATCAGTAGCATCCAAAGGTGAAATGACTCGCACTTAGCTCAGACTCTTAGGCTAGGGCTTATTTACACCATAGCATGTTGCCCTCTATGTTTTTAACGTAGGTAACTTTCAAGTCCATGACAATTTAATGAAAGTAAACATCTTGTAATTTTACTAGTGTAAATAACAATTTTACAAATTTTCATTATTTTTTTTAGAATCTGCTCTTTAAATATCGTAAGTCAAAAATATTTAAAAACAGAAACTAAGAGGGAAACAATGTAGCAACTGGGGGGAAAAAAAACCTGACAAAACATACAAATCTGCTGAGTGTGGTGACAGATACTTTGTAATCCCAGCACTCTGGGAGGTGGAGGCTACAGAATTACAAATTCAAACCCTGTCTCAAACAAACAAACAAACAAACAAAATACCCCAACACAACAAAAAAAAGCTATGGGTCCAAGCCCCAGCATCGCAAATGAACAATCTGACAGACTTTACTTTTCACTACCTTCCACCCCGCTGGGATGTGGAATGGCAGCTCCTCAATCTGCCAGAGCTGTGTATCCTTTAAAAATATTCCTCAGCCTTATTTTAAAATGTACTCAGGTCCTTTTCTGGCTAATTTTTACTTTAAAAATTACCTAAAGGCTGTTTTGAGGATTTGGGGACCAATAAATTAATTTAAGATGACTCAAGGGTTTTCTTTTACAACAGATGTCAACTATCATTTCAAATAACAATGTACATTCCAGTAGGAAATGATGCGAATGCATGGGTTTATTTTGGTTTTCCTTTATTCTGAGACTTAAATTTTGGGGCCGGGGACAGTGGCACATGCCTGTAATCCCTGCACTTTAGGAGGATGAGGTAGGGATATCACAAGTTCAAGCCCAGCATGGGTTACACAGTGAGAGACCCTGACTCAAAAACAAACAAACAAACGGGAATGAAGCCCTGGGTTCAATTCCCAGTAAAACACCTGCATGCACACACACACAGAGTATGCCTTGCACTTGAAGTATGAATCTTTTTTATTAATGTTTCTCTAAACTGGCAGTATTATTTTATGATGCTTTATTGTAAAAACTGCTAAAGGAGAATGCTGTCTTAATAAACTGTTGAGACAAATGCATCTATTTTACTTGTATGACAGACTCAGAAGCTAAACAACTTATTTAAAAAAGCATAACTAATAAATAGACTAAATTTCTTAATGTATGAATTCACTTAAAAGTTTGCTGTATTTCATGCAAAACATTGAATGTTGAATTCCACATTTAAACCTGGAAAATGACTGAAGCTATATAGGGTATAAACTACATAATTTTCTCTAGTTGTTATTAATAACTATATTAGCCATATAAAGACACAAAAATTTTATTAGAAAAAGGCTACAAAACTTTAAAAATGAAAGTGATCTTAAACATACAATCTTCCACATCATTTTAAGAGTAATAGAAAAAACATGTCTTGCATGTTATCTTAATTGTGCCAATTTCACCAAAACATGCAAACATTAAATGAAAACTATAGACCAAAAGTTTCAAAATTCAAAATAGAAATGTTTTTATTTCTACTGTTTGTGATTTCTTTTCTAAGAGTTAATATTAACTTAAAGGGGAAGATCATTATCAAGAAGATGTTTAGCCGGGCGTGGTAGCACACACCTGTAATCCCATCACTCCAGAGGCAGAGGCAGAAGGATCACTGAGTTCCAAACCAGCCTGAACTACATAGTGAGACCCTGCCCTGTCTCAAAAAAAAAAAAAGAAAAAAAAAAAAAAAGTTGTTTAATAATCTTCCCT